TCAGGGGTACCAGTCCTCTCCGGGCGCAGGGGTACCAGCGGCCTAGCAAGGGCACCAGAGGCCTGCCAGGGGCACCACAGGCCTAACAAGGGCACCACGGGCCTGCCAGGGGCACCTCAGGCTTGTCAGGGCCCAGGGACACCACAGTCCTTCCAAGGGCACCGCAAGCCTGTCAGGGGCACCAGAGGCCTGCCAGGGGCACCACAGGCCTAGCAAGGGCACCACTGGCCTGTCAGGGGCACCTCAGGCTTGTCAGGGCCCAGGGGCATTACAAGCCTGTCAGGGGCACCAGAGGCCTAGCAAGGGCACCACAGGCCTGCCATGGACACCACAGGCCTGCCAGGGGCACCACCGGCCTTGCAGGGGCGCCTCAGGCCTGTCAGGGGCACCACGTGCCTGCCGGGGACACTTCAGGCTTGTCAGGGGCGTTACAGTCCTGTCAGGGCCCAGGGGCACCAGGCCCGTGGTGTCCCTGCTAGGCCTGTGGTGCCCCTGGCGGTCCTGTGGTGCCCCTGCCAGGCCCAGGACTGTGATACCCCTGATAGGCCGGTGGTGCCCCTGGCAGGTCTTTAGGCCCCCGGGCCTCAAGGGGGGGCCATGACCCATGTGACCCCCCCCCCCTTGGATCCGCCCCTGCTGTCGGACGGAAAGTCTGTCGCCACATCTCGCACAAACAGGTCTTGGGCCGACGCCAATAAGGTGTCCATGGGTACCGAAAGTGTGCCCTGTGCGAAGCCGACAGAGGATAACCTCCTCTCGACGCGACTTGCGCGACGCAGACAACCAGGTTGCCAAACCCGGTTTGATGCGTAGCAGCTTGTTTGTCTGACATCTGCTCCAATCCTCCTGCCACTTTCCGCGGAAGAATGAGCTCACCGCAGGGAAAAAGTCCCTGGCCGGTAGAGGGAACCGGCGGGAGCAGGGCTGCCGCGCCGCATGGTTCGCAGCACGGTCCGCCCGCTCATTGCCAGCTATACCAACATGGCTAGGAATCCAGCAAAAAGTCACTGAGGTACCCTCTCGGTCGAGAGCCGTCAAACGGAGAAGAATCTCCTGTACGAGGGGGTCAAGTGGATAGAATTGTGTCAAGGACTGGAGTCCGCTCAATGAGTCGGAGAGGACAAGATATGACCGAGCGGGATGAATCTGGATAAAACACAAAAGTTTGAGGACGGCGACCAATTCGCAGGTAAAAACGGATGCATGTTTAGGTAAAGTAAAACATCGCACAGCGTCGCCGCAGACGAAGGCACAGCCAGCACCGAGGTCCGACTTGGACCCATCGGTGTATGCCACGGCATGGCCTGAATATGATTCAATATGTTCCAATGCCTTCGCCTTGAAGGCCAGAGGCAGAATTTGGTCTTTCCGTGTGCCTGATAGGGTTAGGTCCACAGAGTGGACAGATAACCTCCAAGGCGGTTCAGGCAGGATAACAACTCGCATGATGTCCCGAGTGCTTAGGCCACAATCTCGGAGGAGATCGGCCGTTCGGGTGCAGAAAACTCGAGAGCGGCTCCTCTCGTCGCCATCAAAGACTGCTAAGAGCGACCTGGAGAAAGCCGGTCCGTGAGCAGGATGGGAAGGGAACTGACGAAGTTTGATGGCGTATCGCATGCCCAACATCTGCCTTCGTAAGGCCAGAGGGGGCTCGTTCGCCTCAGCTAACAAGCTGACGACAGGAGTAGTTCGGAAAGCACCAGTCGCAATGCGAATCGCTGCGTGGTGGACAGTGTCAAGGATAAGCTTGGATGAGGATGCAGCGTTGTCATAGATAAAAGATCCATAGTCCAGACGGGACCGCACCAGAGACCGATAAAGAAGGAGTAGCGTACTACGGTCAGCGCCGTAGGACATGCGAGCGACACACTTCAGAATGTCAAGAGCTTTAAGACATCTGTCACGGAGACACTTTATGTGACTTCGGTATGTGAGTCGGCAGTCAAGAGTCATGCCAAGGAACTTGGCCTCCGCAACCACTGGTATGGCTTCACGGTAGAGCCTCACCACCATGGGTGCAGTGGGGCGACGCTTACGGGAAAACTGCATGCCTACCGTCTTTGCAGAGGAGAACCGGAAGCCGTTCTCCTTGCCCCATGCCTCCACTCGAGCAACTGCCATCTGCAGCTGTCGCTCCATTGATCGAGTCGACGCCGCACTGCACCAAATAGCGAAATCATCGACGTAAAGAGCGCGGCCGATGGCTGGAGAGAGGACCTTTTCAATGTCGTTGATCATGACACCAAAAAGCGTCACGCTGAGCACACCGCCTTGTGGGACTCCATTAATCTGGGCGAACCGCTCAGATAACTGGTTGCCCACACGAACACGGAAGAAACGATCACCAAGAAAACTGCTTAGAAAATGACCCATCGTGCCTCGAATGCCTAGCTTATGCAGCTTCTGTAAGATACCGAATCGCCAAGTGGTATCATACGCTGCTTCAATGTCGAAGAACAAGGCGCCTACTTGACGACCTTGTTTAAAATTCGAGCGGACAACTGAGTCAAGAGTAAGAACGTGGTCGACAGTACTCCGGTGCTTTCTAAAACCACACTGAGAATTGGCAAGAGGTCCGTGCCGCTCCAGATGCCAGGTAAGTCGGATATTCACCAGCTTTTCCAACAGCTTTCCAACGGCGGATGTGAGCGCAATTGGGCGGTAGTGCAGAGGGTCCAAACCGCTCTTCCCTGCTTTTAGAACAGGGATGACAACTGCCTCCCGCCAGGAGTTTGGGTAAACACCCGTCATCCATAGGAGGTTGAACAGCTGAAGGAGAGCATCCAGAGCAACCGGAGGGAGATGGCGAAGCATCTCATTGTGGATAGAATCCGGGCCTTCTGCGACACATTTAACCCTCGCCGGCCGAGGGGGGGGGCGGGTGCCGCCCCCCCATAGGGTTTTTTCGCGATAGCTCCGAACACGCTGGCGATAGAGAGCTGAAACTTGGCATACCTGACCTTTGATCCAAGCCGCATCTTTTGACACCAACCGCATTTTTGGGTCAGGTCAGGTCACTGACCTATGACGTCATAAGTGAACCTCTGCACGGTCTTCAGATGTCGCAACTTCGCAACGCCCTCACTGCCAGAGGAGATGTCACAGGGAAATGAAACTTGCAGGATCTAGTATCCATTATGAGTCTCACAACTTGTATATCTCGGATTTTTCCTAAAGGTCATATGAGGTCAGGTCATTTTCGTGACCTCACCATTATAAGTCAATGGGGAAAAATTCAAACTGCTATTCTGGCGCCGGGAACGATCTCCAACTATCTCAAGCACACAGAATCGTGATTTTATGCACTCCTTGCAAGGTTAGATGCGTCACTTTTGCAATGTTGACCTTGCGTGACGTCATTTATGACGTCATCAAGGTCATATTAGTTTTTCGTCAATAACTCTTGATCAAATTGAGCTAGCGAGCCGGGAAAGCCACCAATGGACTCAGGAAGACCTGCCGAATCGAATGATATGCGACATGACCCCTTTCGACCAATTTCGTGACCTGGGGGTGCTGACCTGACCTTGACCTGAGGTCAACACCCCAAGCTGACCTGACCCGGACAAAAAGTATATCATTCGACGCGCCTGAGCGAGACGAACACGATGCTGCCAAAATCGGCGCTCTGCGGCCGTTTTTTGCGAAGTTATTCACCAAAAACTGAACCGTACCTTGGGGCACTTGACCTGACCTCAGAGGTCACCGGTTGACCTAGGACCTTAAAATTGGGTACCAATCTCTGCGTCTCGTAACGGCGCACACGCTCGTTTTTTCCGCGACGCGCTAGCTCCACCAGGGGCGAAACGGCGAGGGGGGGGGGTCGTACCCGCCCCCCCCCCCTCTCGGCCGGCGCGTATGTAGAAAACCAATAGGTCCGGCGAGGGTTAAGACAGCTTATAGCTGACTTGAGCTCAACCATTGTAAAAGTATCTTTGTAGCTCAAAACGTCGGAGGTGCTAAAATTGACCCCAGAAGCTTCACAAGACGAGCGGTGCCTGACAAAGGATTCGTCGAGGGACTCATCACCACACCGCCGATAGAGGGCGCGGCCTATCTCCGAAGCAACGGCGTTTGGCTCCATGATGTCCCTTCCATCCACCTTCAGCACGGGTAAGGGTACAGAGGAGTGCCGGCCCGAGATGCGCTTTATGCGCGACCATACTTCGCCGATTGGAGTAAAACGATTAAGAGTGCTGACATATCGTTTCCAAGATAAGATCTTGGCCTCTTTGATAGTGCGCTTGGCAACCGCTCTGGCTCTCTTAAAAGCTATCATGTTGGCCGTGGAACTATTCCGCTGAAAGGCACGGTAGGCACGCTTTCGGGCACGAATTGCATCAGAACAGGCATCACTCCACCACGGAACTGGTGGTCGTCGGGGCATACCGGAACTGCGGGGTATGCAGGCTTCGGCAGCCTCGACGAGTTTGGACGTGAAATCATCGACTGACAAACTGTATGTTGGAACATCTGAGAATGACTCTGTCAGTCTCGCCTCGAATTCGGTCCAGTCTGCCTTCGTTAAGTTCCACCTGGGTGGCCGACAGCCAACTGAGCCATGCTCCCGGAGGTCCAGCCAGATCGGAAAATGGTCGCTGCCCATTGGGTGCGCAGCAACGCGCCACGTGAAAAGAGGAGCGAGCTGCGGACTGCTAAGACTGAGATCTAGAACTGATGTCTGGCCAGAAGGTAGAGTAAAATGAGTTGGAGCACCGGAGTTAAGGACGCATAAGTCCTCATCGCCAATAAAAGATGCTAAAAGTCGACCACGGGTGCAAACTGTCTGACATCCCCATGCAGAGTGGTGAGAGTTAAAATCGCCTAGAATCAAAACTGGCTGAGGTAGCTCTGCCAGTAACATACGAAGATCCTGCACAGGGAGAGACTCCCCTGGTGGGCAGTACAGTGAACAACAGGTTAGCTCCCGGTGACCGAGAGCCACCCCAACAGCGACCGCTTGAAGTGGGGATCTGACCGGGATTGGTCTCGTCGAAACTCTATGGCTGACAGCCACGAGAACACCACCGTGAGCAACTGAGTCGGTATCCAGGTCCTTCCTGAAAATGGAATACCCTTTGAAATGTAGGTGATGCTCTGGTTTCAGCTTCGTCTCCTGTAGACAGACCAGGAGAGGACAGTCGCGACGGATCACCGTCTGTAAATCAACAAGGCTACTGCGGAGTCCTCTACAGTTCCACTGTAAGAAACTCTGCATGGAGAAGACAGTAAAAGAGGCGCAGAAGCGCTTTAAAAGCCCGTTCAGACGTAAAACAGCCCGAGAAGGCGATAAAACTGTTTAAAAGATTGAGTAGAAAGACGACTAGAAAATCACCTCCCCAGAGGATTCGTATTGAATCCTCGCGTGGCTAGTTCTCTGTCGGCCGTCGGCAGACTGGGACCGAGGTCCCACAGGGCCTGAAACGGTTCGGTTGCCAAACCGCACCCGGCCAGGGCCCTGCTCTGGCGGCGACGGGGGACCACGCTTGGCCGAACGCCTGCGTTCGGCCAGCACCGAGCTTGGGGGGCTGGGTGCAGGATCCGGCACACTGAGGGTTCCGGATGCCGCCCCAAGGGACGGCGGAGGGGGCCGCCTCGGGAGAGGCGGGGGAGGGGGAGGGGGCATGGCCGGAGAGCCGGCCGGGGCGTTCACCACTGGGGACGGCCTCCCCTCCTTGGCCTTCTCGGCCAGTCTGGCACGTTTGGCGTCCCTCGCCCGTCGCTCCTCCTCTCCTCGCTTCAGGGTTTCCAGCACTGCTGGGCTGATCGCCCTGTCAGATCCCGGAGATGGTGGTACAGTGGCTGTTGGAGACTGGCGCCTCGACGGGCGGCGCCGTGGGTGAACAACGGTCCAGTCATCCTCAGATTCTGCCCGGCGACGTGCATCAGCAGCAGGTGCTGCTGGCACAGAATCGGCTGCGGGAGCCGGCGGGGTGTCATCCTCAATGAGCCCCGAGAGGAGCTGGATCAGCTCTGCTACAGAAAGCTGGCGAAGATTGCCGGCCTTCCTGAGGGCACCACTCACCCCGGGTCCGAGGGCGACCCGGCTTGCAGCAGGTTGGGGTGGCCGAGCGGCCACATCTCGGTATGAAAGCGAAGGTGCGGGAGTGCGCTGTCGCACCCTGTCCCGCGCCTCGCGAAAGGAGACGTTCTCCTTCGTCATCAATGCGCGCACCTCAGCCTCGAACAAAAACTTAGGGCATTTGCGGTGCCATGCCCGGTGCTGGCCACCGCAGTTGGCACATTTGACACTGTCCGATTGGCAAGCGTCAGAGCCATGCCCCTCAGCTGAGCAGACCCCACAGCGCTGTGTTCCCCGGCACTTCGAGGAGACGTGCCCGAAGGCCTGGCATTTGAAACACCGGACTGGATCCGGAAGAAAGGCACGAATGGGAACCACAAGATAGCCAACCTTGACCTCCCGCGGGAGGGTGGGGCGGTTCAGAGTTAAAACGATTGAATCGGTGTTCATAAGAGATCCTTTCACCTTACGGCGGATGCGGCGGGCATGGGTGACACCTTGCCCTTCCATTCCGTCCACGACTTCGTCGTCCGCCACGCCGCGGAGGTCCGGGCATGTGATCACTCCCCGCACTGAATTTTTGAACGGATGTGGCTCAACTTTGACCTCTATTTTGCGGACCTGCTTATCTCGTGCCTTGAATGATATTTCTTTGAGGGCAAGCATATTCCGGATCTCAGTTTGGTTCGTCAGGTGGATTTCCAGGGTCCCGTCTGGGCGTTGGGTTACACGCTGAGGCTGACAGTGAGGCGAGAGTGCCTGCTCTCTTTGAAACGGATTGAGTTTGAGCGGCATAGGCTGGCCAGACTCATCCTGATCGGTTGAGCTCATGAGCAGAAAGTAAGGCAGCGGCCTCCCAAGATCACCGGGTGGTCGAGGGGTTGCCTCAGTCGAGGTCTGGGGGCGAGGACATCCGGGCGGGGCCGGAGTTGAAGTGGTCGCCGAGGTCGAAGTGGTCGCCGAGGTCGAGGTGGTCGTGGTTGAGGTCGAGGTCGAGGTAGGGGTCGGGGGAAGGAGTTCAGAATCCATGCAGTGTGAGTTGGTCTCCGCCAGCTCGGCCGCCGACGCTCCGCAACGGCGCCGCTACAAGGCCTAGGACGGCCGAGCTGACTGTACGGGACTTGGCGGCACCTTCCGCGGGGGAGAGAGAGACTCACCACCCCCCACGGTCGGATACCGCCTCCTCCCTTGACGCCTCGCCGAGTCACCGCCAGGGGCAGCGACAGATCAGTCCCACCGACGGAGGACGAGCACAAGTGCCCGAACCCCGCCGGCGACACCTCTCCGACACCACCCCCGGCGGCATCACGACTGGGAATGGCTCCTCAAGTGCGGCGCCCCACTGAGTGTCCCGCCCTTACAGAACTCAGGGCCAAAGAGGCGTGTTGCCCAGCCACCGCGACTGGCTCCGGACGGTGGGGGGCTCAACCTCCAGGATCCCGTTGTCCTGGGGTACGGGTCGGCTCGCCTAGCCTAGTAAAACCGGCTGGTACCCGAGGGGACGCCACTCCCCTTACACTAGCCCAACTCGGCTGTGTTCCTGCGGGTGCAAAACCAACGAAAAAAGGTAGGAAAAGAATCAGAAAGCTGTGATCGAACGAAACGCGGACATCCGGTGAGAAGCAAAGCAAAAGCAAACAAAGACCGCTCAAGAGAAACAAAACCACGAAAACCAGGAAAAGTCGGACCGTACCATCTGTCCATCCAGCAATCAAAGCAAGTCGTAAGCAAGCATGAGTCAAGCTGGGGCCGAGGGGGCGCTACTCCCCTTGCTGGCCGAGGCCAGGGCCGCCGCGGGGTAAAGGCCCAAGGAACCCAGTCCAACAGCGACCCCGGCCACTGCCAACCCCCTGCGGGGCCAATCCTGCAGACAATCCATCCAGTAAGCAAGGCAAGTCCAGGTCAAAACGCGCGTCAAGCTGGGGCCGAGGGGGCGCTACTCCCCTTACTGGCCGAAGTCACAGCCGCCGCACAGCCGGAGCCAGATGACCCCGGCTAAGCAGCAGCTCTGACCACGGTCAGCCCCCTGCGGGGAAGTAAAATGTCCAAAGAACGCATTGAGCACAAATTTGGCCTTCCAGGTGATTTGGGACAAAATTTATGCGGCAAAATAAATTATCTGGGGCGTCTTGCCCCAGGCTACCCTATAAAGAAGGCATCAAAAGCTTAGGAATCTTCTGTAAAAACAACAAAAACAACACCCAAAACCAGCATCAGCACCTACCCACGCTGCTCCTCAAGACGCAGAACCGGAAATAGAGAACTACGTAAACAAGCAGTTGACTGTTATGAAAGACAGGATAAAACACCTATCCGTCGATAAGATCTACGATTTTTTTTAGGGGAGGCGTTTAACCCTGGGGTGCGTTTTCCCCACAGTTACCCTATAGCTACGAGGCTCTGGCGTTAATCAGACGATCACAATAATCGTTGAAAAAATGACAGGTGGTCGCATTTCGATATTTATGGGTTTACGATTTTCCTCAGTGGCGTAGCCAGGTGGGCCCGTGAGGCACATGCCTCCCCCCCCCCATCAGGTTCAGGGGCCCATCGGGTTATTCGGGCCTGAGGCTGAGGGGCCCTGCGGCGCCAATTGGACGCTGAGGTTCCACGTTGGCTATATTTGGACTCAGAAGGGCCCCACAGGGCTCGTAAGAACACCTCATGGGCCCACAAGTACCAACATTATCTCCATAAGGGTCCCAAGCCAGCCTCTGAGGGCCACTTGCCGGCCTCTGGGGGTCTTAACCGGCGTATAGGAGGCCAGCTCTAGGAGCTGCACACCCGCCTGTAATGGCCCCACACCCATTTCTCTGAGGGCTCCTATAACGGCGACTGTGAGGGCCCTCACCGGCGCCCCTGAGCGCCACACCGGCGTCTCTGAGGGCCCCACACCCCTAACTCTGAGGCCCTACACCAATGCCTTTAAAAACCCTACATGGGCGGTTCTGAGGGCCCTTGTCAGTTACCAGCGACCCTGACGGCCCCACACAGGTGACTCGGAGGGTCCTAGCGGCGTCTGAGCGCACCATGCCAGTCTCTGAGAACCCCACAAGGCTCCTGAAGGCACCGGTGACCTCTTGATATCTTTTTGTCGGCCTATGAAGGGTCCGTTCCGTAACAGCAGTTCTGAGGGCCCCACGCGCGCCTGTGATAGCCCTAAAGCAGTGTCTCAGAGAGCCCCCACAACGGCGCCTGTGAAGTGTGAGGGCCGTCACCGGCGACTGTGAAGCCCCCACACCGGCGCCTCCAGTCCGAGGTCCCCACATTGCCATATCTGAGGGCCCCACCACTAGTGCCTCTTAACCCGCGCACCGACGGGGGGGGCGGATATCCGCCCCCCTGAGGTTTTTCGCGAATAGCGGGAAAACCGCGGCGCGTAGCGCCGCGAAATTTGGTATGACTATAACCTTATCAATTTTACACATGGAGTGCAAGTTTGAACCTCCTACCTTTTAAGGTCAGGTCACCAGGTCACTTTGAATGACCCAACCTCAAGTCACTTTTTTGCAACTTTGTCACCTTGCCAGAGCTACAGTAGATGTCGGAGGCCTTTGAAAGTCGCAGGATATTATTAGGTAATTAGTAGCTACAATTTGTTTATCTCGGAATTTTGATATCGGTGACCTAAGGTCAGGTCAATTTCGCGACCTCCCCATTATAAGTCAATGGGGGAAAAATCAACTCCCTGTTTTTACCACTAAAACGGGTCGGAATGGCCTATATACCATATATGACTTCATATACGATCAACCTTCACTACCTTGAGGTCTGTTTTGCTGTTGGGCAGCTGTAAGGTCATGTGACGTCATCAAAGGTCACCAGCGGTTTTTTGCCAATAACTCCGTACTGGAACTAGATACAGCCGCGCGGATGGTCTCATTGTGTTCAGCTCGTCAAGACGCATCGAATGATACACATGATGACCTCGAGGTCACGTGAACTGAGGTCAACCTTTGACCTTGACCTTTCGAGGTCAACATATATATCATTCGATGTGGATTGACGAGAGGATCACGATGATGCCCTTAGTTTGTTCTTATCTTGACTAATTCGAAAGTTATTCGAGAAAAACTCTCTCCATATTCAGCGCCGCCATTTTGACTTTTTCGACCCCTGTGACGTCATCTTTGACCTGACCTGAAAATGACCTTTGTAAAAATTGTAGACTTTGTCCCTGCGTATCCGATGCCGTTTACCGCTTGTCGCTATCTTGCTTCGTTCTCGAGATCTCAGGTTGGGGGGCGGTCATCCGCCCCCCCCCCCCTGTCGGAACGAAGTTGGCGCAGACCCCCGTCGGTGCGCGGGTTAACCCACGCCCCAGTGGCGGTCTCGGCCAACTTCGCCCTAGTGAGGGGGGGCATATGTTACCACCCACCTCTAACTCAAAAACTAAGAGGGCTAGAAAGACGCGGTAAAAAGCAGTCGATAGCTCTCAATGCGTACGTTTGAAAGTATTTCGGTCATTTTTCACCTTAGAGCAATATTAGGGTCACCAGAGGTCATCAAAGGTCAAAATTTGCCAATTGTCATTATATTTTTCAGAAAACATGCCGCTATTTCAGGAACTATGGTAGCTAGAAAAACGCATGATAGAACAGTCGATAGCTTTTGAACTCTTCTTTTGAAAAGGTCATTATCAATATTGACCTCAGGTCAACGGTTTAGCCTCCAGAGCGCAAAAACTCCAAAAATAGCTGTTTTTACGAAAAGTGTTTTTCGCCAATAACTTTCGACTACAAAAAGCCACGACATTTCTATTGCCAGAATCGTGTTCCCCTCACCGAGACGCGTCGAATGAACTATAATTTGACCTTGAAAGGTCAACTTGAAAATTTGACCTCAGGTCAAGGTCATGACCTCACCGGAAAAGGTCATGTTGCATATCAGTCGATGCGTCTCAACAAGACAAACACAATGAGACCATCCCCAGCGTTCTATCTCTTTCCAATCGTGAGTTATTGGCAAAAAACTGTTCGTATCCTCAAATGACCTCGGATGACCTTTCTAAAGGATATCAGCAAAAATGACACCTTGGTCATCACGAGTGGACTAAATC